CTTCTTCTTCTTCTTCTTCTTCTTCTTCTTCTTCTTCTTCTTCTTCTTCTTCTGCTTCTTCTTCTGCTTCTGCTTCTGCTTCTTCTTCTGCTTCTTCTTCTGCTTCCTGCTTCTTCCGTTTCTTCTTGGTAAACAGAACTCGAAAATGCATAAGATCACTATGCGAGCGCGTGGGACACATGTTAAACATAATTTTCAGTTTGGTAGGAAATTTGAATTTAGCCTGGGTGGCGGCCGAAGCCTAGATCTACTCTTCTCGATTTTACAACCACCAGGGATCTTTAATGTGCACAACTTGCACACGGGCCTCCGCAGATTTTTCGCCCTTATCCGAGAAGGATAGTGCTAGATCTTTCCTACCTTAAGCCAGAAAAAGACAGAAGTGATGACACTGAATGTAGGCTCCCCAACGCTGATTATGGTGAACAACACAGACCTCCCCATTCGGACACATTTACCTACCTAGGCAGCATAATCAAAACTGACGGCTGCACAAAGGAAGACATCATGAACAGACTCGGCAAGGCAAGATCTGTACACAGAAGCATGATCAACATCTGGAAGTCAGGACAATTTAGTATACAAACCAAGTTAAAGCTTTATAACAGCTGTGTACTATCCACATTCCTATATGGAGCTGAATGCTGGAGGATGCCTGATCATGACCGTGTCAAGCTATCTTCCTTTCATACAACCAGCTTACGCCAAATCCTCAGAATCTTCTGGCCCGACAAGATCTCCAACGCAGATCTGTTAACTAAATGTAGGCAACATAATATGACCACCATTATAATAAAGGAGAAGATGGAGATGGATTGGACATATTCTGAGAAGAGAACCAGACTCTATTGTGAAGACTGCCCTCCACTGGACACCCGAAGGACGTCGCAAAAGGGGCAGACCCAAAGTAACCTGGAGACGCACAGTAGAGTCTGAAATGAAGTCCTGGAATCATCCGTGGGGAACGCTGTCCAAGATGGCCCAAAACAGACAGAGCTGGAGATCCTTTGTTGCTGCCCTAAACACCAGATGGCGTAATGGGTAGTAAGTAAGTAAGTAAGTACCATAAAATCAGGGTTGTGGCTGAAAGACAGCAAAATCGAAGGAGCCAAGATAATATTATAATGTATTAATGTATTATATATAGCAGTCGAGACTCGAAAGGCTGCAGAGTCGAGGAGCCAGGAGGAGAGCGCATAAGGAGAAAAAACAGGGGGGGGGGGGGGGGGGGGGGGGGCGAGAATTATATTTGAAAAAAGCAGGCAACAGAGCGTAGTAAGAGAACAGGAAAGGAGATGATAGGACAATAAAGTATAGATAATTTTTTCCCCGTTCACACTCAGGTTTCGAACCCGGCGCCCATATTAATAAAATTATTGGCCTATAGAATGAGAGGGAATCCCCAGGCCTAGCCTTTTGACAACGTGGGCCTATTAATTGCTTCTTAACTGATTCCGCCCATGATTTTTTTCAGGCTCTGGACAAATTATTTTTCCTGGTTCAGTTTTAGACCTGGGGACACGGGGTGCATCTATTTAATGTCTTACTTTGAAGCTCTATATGTTACTCTAATAGGTATTGTCATATACCAAAGTGATGGGAATCAAAAGAGGAATCTGTTTAAACAAATAACAAAGACCTATAATCTGTTTATATTCTCATATCAAGGTTTATGTTTGTTCATTAATAAATTGATAAACACTGACGTCAGTGGTGAAGGCCGTACGGTTTATAGCAGAAACTAGAGGTGTGCGAATAACGAGTCCAGACTCGAGTACTCGAGTAATACATGCGGCGAGTCCAGACTCGAGTCACAAGTAAATTACTCGAGTAAGGACTCGAGTAAGGACTCGAGTCCAGACTCGAGTCTGTAGGGGGAAACAGAAAAAAAAGGAGAAAAATTTGGTTTTTAAAAAGTTAAGAATAGATAAAAGAAACATTCTAATAAGCAATTCTTTAAACTGAAGGAAAAGAAACAACAAAAACAAAAAAATTCCTTCCCCCAAAGGAAAAAAACGAACCCCCCCCCCCCCAGAAAAAAGCAAAAAGGAAACCACTGTTAAAAGCCCACGTTGACCAATCAAACTTCTTTTTTTTATGAAGTGCACTGTCTGAGGTTTACAGTCTGTGTACATTTTATTCTTACTGTTGTAACAGAGAATTATTTTTAAAAAATAAAAAATAAGAAAAGATAAGATAAAGACCACCTCTATTCTAGCTTAGTTGTTATACAGTTGTAAGCTTCTCACTCACCTGGGGTGAGAGAGCGAGCCTTTTGGCTATTCTCTTCCTGTGTGCGTTTACCGTGATACCCAGTGTAAACCACAGAATTCTAGATCTACACTTTTTAAAAATTGAATTCTGTGGTGTAAACAAACGTTCCAGTTCTCTTGTGTTAAAAACATGCAATTTTGTCTGCGGGCATTGAAAGAGAGAGAGAGAGAGAGAGAGAGAGAGAGAGAGAGAGAGGGGGGGGGGGGGGAGTAGCCTAGATGTAGCGAGAACTTCTGGGCAAAACAAAATGCCGACCAGGGTAGTTCGGCTCTATTCTAAAAGGGAAATAGCCGTAGCATCTTTGTAGACCGCCAAATTAGTTTTACTTTTGTGTTATAATATCATTTTTTTAAAAAGGGGTTTGTCTATTTAATCATCCTCCCCTATAGGAAGTATTCAGAAATTAGGAAAAACCGGTTTTGTTTCACACCGGGTGAGAATAGCCAACGCTGGCAAGTCTCACCCGGGGTGAGAGGTCGATCACATTTTTATTCTCACCTGGGGTGAGAATAGCCACTTCCTAAGATAAAATAAAATAAATACGGTATAAACAGCATGTGTCTAGAATTGCCATAAGCCTACTCAAGCTCCCTCCTAGGAAGGCACTCTATTTTCTGTCCGATATTCAACAAAACTTTTTTTGAAACCCACTAAAATTCCCTCTCGGGATACTATTACTCGAGTAATTACTCGAGTCTTAAGAGCCGTGGGACTCGAGTAATTACTCGAGTCCAGAGCAGATACTCGAGTGTGGACTCGAATCTTAATATGCTGGACTCGCACACCTCTAGCAGAAACCTCGGCTGCCTGCTCAGCCCGATTTAGCTTCGATAAATTGATCTAAATTAATCATTTTAATGTATGCGTAAAAATCATACAGTTAAACTAATATTGACATAAAAACAAATAGAATTAATTATCTTCTGCCTTGTTGTGTATTTTATTGTGATTCATTTAATGCCAAGATTTACCCGACCTATTCATTCCTCAGGTAGTTATAATTTATTCAAGTGCTAAAAATGTTAAACGAATCGTGACATATCATAGAACTACAAACGACACAAGTACATACATGTATTCGAAAGATCAAAGAGAGTCGTTGTCAAAGAAGACATATATATATATATATTTAAATTAATGCTTTAATTCAATACAACACAGGCTGGAATCCAGTACATTTATTTGATTTGGCTTTCTCTTTCTCAAGAGTACCATTTAAATAAAGGAATATTGCATAAAGCATGTTAAAGTTGGGGTCATAGAGAATTATGATTCAGGCACATCAAGGACTTTGGAATATTTTATAACCTCCTTGAGATGTAGGCAGCAGTGTAGGCCTAAAATGGAATCCAAAGATTATCCACTCAAAGCAAACACAGAAGCCCTGTCGACATTTCATAAGAACGGAGTTCTATTCAGATTTATTTAAAAAACATAAACTTGCCGATCTTATAGGGCCTAGCAACTTGCAACGATTCAAATTTAAATGAGTTTTGATAACATAACGAGAAGACCCAAGTTTCACTTTCAAATTGTTTTTATAAAAATTGAACTTTTTCTGTAGGCTATTGTAAATTACACTTCTGGTTACCGGTAGCCCTGATCCTAGGTTCTTGTGCACAGTGTGACCCATAATATGTGTGGGATATCTTCTAGAGATCTAGATCTAGATTCTAGATCTAGATTTAGATCTATTACTATTAGATTCTAATCAAGTCTTTTTCTGTGAGTGTGTACATGATACACAGTGTCTCTACTCTAGTAGTCTAGAGCTAATAAAAACTAGAGTCGACTCTGTGTGCAGCACAACAACCAATTCAAATTCAATGGCCCAAGAGCACTCTCCATCACCAACCCCAGAGCGTGCAGTGTATGGCTTCGTCTTCTATCTGGCCTCATTTGTTGGATTTGGTGAGAACTGAAACTGAGGGAATTCCTTTATGATGGGTTTTTTTTAGGAAGGACTTGCGTAAGGAGCGACCACCCCAACAAGCATAGTTCGAAGAGCCCTTCTAACACACACCCTACTGCAACCCTTACCCTACCCCTAGTAGCCCTCTATTACTGGCCTCTATTACTCTGTCTCATCATAGTGGTCGCTCGTTATGGAAGTCCTCCCGGTTTTTGCATAGTATAGGCCAGCCCCCCACCCTTCTGAAATGGTAGGCCTACTTTTACTTACTTTCATTAATTTAAATTCTTACTATTTTTAAAAAATATTTGGGGGGGGGGTGAGATGTTAAATTTCAGCATGATGTCCTGTATGTTGTTCATGATGATTTGCATGAGAGTAGGTGGCAATCTTCTAATCTGGGATGTTTCATTCACATTCTTGGGTTCGGAAGGGTTTTGTTAGTGTCAGTGATGTCTGATGGGTTGTAAAGTGGGTGGGGCTTGCTGTGACAAAACGTTGTGGTCGTTCAGATTAATAAAGGAAACATAGACTGAAGAGGAAAAGACAGTGAAATACACATATATTACTATTAGGTCGAACTATAATAAAAAAAACAATGTGGAAAAAAAAAAAAGATCTAAAGTAGGCCTACAGTCAAACCTGCCATGAAGGCCACCTGGGTAGACCCACACGGGCATCGGGCAGGACAGTCAGAATGGATCGTTTTCTGATGCAAAAGGTGAATACCGGCATAACAGTGACGACAGAGGTGTATAATTATAAATAAGAAACGGCAACACGCCCACACCTATGCCAGAGCTCCCAGACTGGACCATATGTTCTATGCTGTCTGCCGGGCGAAAGGGGGTACCGTAATTTTTGTAGTCTTTGCCTCTATAAATTCTTTCCCTTTTAATTCCTGCCACGTGTCTTTTTTTGTTTTGGTGTTTTATGGCGCTTGCCAAGATGTAAGCAGATGATTAAACCTAGTTTGAGGGCAGGAAAGGAGGTGAAAGGAGAAAATCAAGAAAATTTTCCATCGCTGACTGGTTTCGAACCTCGGACCTATGGAATGAGAGGCGAACAAAGTAACCTTCAGACCACGAGATCCCCCCCCAATGTCCATATAATTGATAAAAATAGAATTTTTTTCATGTAAAGAGGTTGCAAATCTTTGAACAAACTTGGTTTCATTTGGAAATATTTAATGAACTTTTTCACTGTCTTGGACAAGTTGTGGATAGAGATGGTGGAACTCTTCAAGGGATTCGCTCTTTTGATGTATGTGATGGACCCAAAATCCCCAACAAGAACAACAACTTTCTCCTCCTGCTATATACGCCTTTTTCTACTATATTTACCTATGTAGTCTGACTGTCGGCAAATTGTATGGGCAGTCAGTAATTTCGAGTATTTCGTGTACATGTTATCTGTGCGGGACTGTATTTACAATGAATGAATTGAATTTGCTTACCCTATATGCAAAGTAACCAAACATTTCAGAGAAATTCCAAAAGTCCAAAGAAGTAACCCTTTATAAAGAGGCAATTTTTTATCAAGACTGTCGAAGTAAAAAACCAGGGAGATAAAGCTGTTGTGTTGTGACTGAAATATGATCAGGTAGAAACCCCAGTCCACCTAAAATGTAGTAGTAAATACGGAAATTCAGTTTGGAGGTGAAGAAGTATATTATGTACATGTATATATTATACATACATGTGGCAGGAAGTCTAAGATTTGGAGGTAGGGATTAGCAGGCTCATCCGCTGTGAATAAATGGAATTTTTTACATGTTCCCACCCCCCTCACTTTTAGTTGTCTACATTGTGTGGGCCTATGTTCCTGATGCCTGGCTTCATTCTGTGGGACTGACATATTGGCCCCAAAAGTAAGTATCTATCTACTGATTCTTTTGTATGATGAAAGTTTTAACGTTTTGGTGTTTTTAAAAAATAGTAAATAACATCAAGTTTGGGAATTGTATTAATACAAAAATCTCATCTCTATATACTGTCTGCAGATAGTTTACAAACTGCAGCAGTATTAGAGTATTTATGTAAGTACCATACACATATTTTTATTTTTTTGTTTTCAATTTTGTAACCTATTTGAATTGGAGTTCTCATTATATCTTGGATTAGTTTTTCTTAAGATGCAAATTTTTTATATGTGGCTGTCTGGTATCAAATACATGATTGGTACAGTCAAACCCTGTTACTGTTATACTGCCACCCCCTCCCTCTCCCAATTATACTGCCATCCCCACTTACTGCCAGTTTTTGCCAATGCACTAAAAGGAAACCCAATAAAACATTTTTTTTTGCCCATTTTAAAAAGCCAAAAAAAAACAAATGGTCTTCTCGCCATCTTTCAACAGCCTGAGTTGTATGGTCCCTACTAAACTATATAAAATTTTCCCGGTAACTTCACCTGTGAACTGGCCATCAGAGGTACACACAACACCGCGACGACACCCACTTGGCAGTTCTGCTGTTATAATCTCCGTTTCTCCAACACCTGACTGTGAACAACAAAATCATCACATGCAGGAAGGCTGAAGGCCATGTCATCAAATTTTGACCAAAGGGAAATCATCATCATTGCCTTTCTCACCCTAGGTCAGGGTATACGCCACGGACAAACACTTTCCACTTTTCCCTATCCTGGGCTAGTCTATTGATATTATTCCATGTCTTCCCACTTTTCTGTACATCGATTTTTTAAAACTCTTGTTCAGGTTCCACGTGGTCTGCACTGTGATCTTCTCCAATCCAACACTTTCCTTGTTATAATGCATCTGCTTGACTTCCTGAGAGTATGTCCAATCCACCGCCAATGCCCTCTTCCTACCCCCCGCGGAGGTGCTACTGACTGAAGTGGCTTTAGGCCATATCCAAAGGGGGTACAATGAACATTAACCACGTTCTTATGCACAGTTATAAAGTTCTGTAATTGAAATTGGGCTGATTACTCAATGTCATGTTCATAACTGTGCCTGAACTACAACAGGGAAGTGCTGTTTTTTCTTTCCTACCGGTATTTCCGGGGTGACTTGATAGTCAAAGCAGACTTTGTGCTGTTGAAGCCAGAGAGGTGAGCAGAGTTATCCTTATTCTCTGTAAGGACTTCTCTATCGACATCCACCCATTGATGCTCATATGACCTTTTATGCAGTTGCAAGCGTCGTAAAACCACTACTAAAACTAAACTTAAAGAGCCTTCTTCCCATCTCATCTCTGACTAGGCTCTCTTGTTATCCTTAACACTTCCTCGTTGGTGACCCTGTCTGTCCATCTGATCCTCAGTAACTTCCATAGACACTTATTCAAGAAAACCTGGATCCTCTTTATGCAAGTCTGAGATAAGTTCCATGTCTCACATCCATGCAACAAGACTGATTTCACATGAGTTGAAAACCCTCAGCTTTGTACTTTGTTCAAAGTGAGGTATCCCTGGTCCTCCAAATACTAAACAAAGATGTGAAAGGAGTCCGTTCCTTTCCGATGCGGGACTTTATTTCATCACCTGTTTTTTCCTCTCTGTCCATTATACGCCTAAGATAGCAGAAGGATTTGACGTCTTCTAGTACATTTCCTTCTATTCTGATCTACTCCAAAGGGAATAACTCTTTTTAATATTGCCCTTAATCTAGAACCATTGCAGAATCATTTCCCCGACGTTGGGCAGGCAGGGCTATTTAACAGAGGACAGCATTAACCCCATTAAACTGCCAGCTTCTGCTATACCCCCAACTTCATGCTTGTCCCAAGGTTTGCATAAATAACAATGTTTGACTGTACTGTGAACTCTGTGGAGTAAGCTTTTTTAAATTAAGGCTCACTATCCGCTCATGTCAGATTAATCATAACTCGTTTAGTGTGAGATCAATATCATCATTGAAAGTTATGAGGTTTGGCACATTTGTTAACCCTTTCAAACCATTTATAAAGCTGATTAGGCGTCTCAGGACATATTTTTCTTTATTCTTAATCTTTGAGACCTGTTAGCCCCTTTGTGACAATGGGACACTTTGTGCCTCACCAGGCACAAGTTTGGGTACCCAGGGATGAACGATGGCGCTTGATTTAATGGTCTATAATTAGATCCGGTTTGTAAATTTTATACAACAAGCCGTCTCTAAAAATGGAGATTCTTTGTAAGGAAAAGTATTGCTGAATCTGAATCTGCAATTAGTTTTATGAAGCATGTCTAGTAATAAAAACAGTACAGCGACTACAAATTATAACGAATTTACGATAGTCCCTATGGTCATCACACTTTGCAAGGCACAATGAGTGCCATTCGTCACAGTAGCATCCTGCTTCTTTAACCGCATGAAAAAGAATGACGAATGGGAATGGCCTAAAGACACTTCGGTCAGTAGCCCCACCCGGGGGGTGTCAAAATACATGGAAAGATGAATAGGGCCTACCTTGTACAGCAAAATAACGTACAAGTCAACCCTTTGGACAGGAGATCTTGATATTTCCAAAATTCCCATCCCTGGACTACTTGAGCGTAATTATCCTGATGCATCAACTTTGTAGGAAACCGAAAACTAAGTCCTGGGCCCGTTTATTGGCCATACATGATCAGTACAACAAGTGCTGTTCGTCATTCTTTTTTATGTGGTGAAGGAAGCAGAATGCTACTGTGATGAATGGCACCCTGGAAGCGACCTCGTTGAATGTGAGCTTGCCGATTTAAGTGTTTGTTGAATCTGGGTTATTTTTATTGATTTTAAAGAAGGATAAAAAAACGGGGAATCTATCTCCTTTCGTTGAATCTGAGTTCTCGTAGAATCCGAGTTCCACTGTATACACAAAGATTGATGTGATCTAGAAAAATGGGGGTTGTTTAAAATGGAGGTGGCAGACAGAAAGAATGAATTCAAAATGAAAAAGACAAAACCTCTAAAAAACTCAGTAAGCTTTTGTAATGCTCTGAATATAATGTCTTTTTTTTTTTCTTGCAGGTATTGGGCTGTTGCTGTTCCAACATATTTCTGCGTGGCAGTGATTTTAGCTTTCATTGCATACACAGGGCTGATATTCTTGAAAACTGCACCTATAACAGATGGTAGGACAATAACAGGTTAGTTATGATTAAAGTTATTTTCTTTCTCTCATCCCTGAGTAGACTACAGAACATATGTGTGGAATTGTGGTGAAATTAAGGGCTTGTCAAAACAATGAAATCCTAGAAAGCAAAAGTTTTTCTGCCCATTAGGCCAATTTTATCAGTTTTATTTTGTTTTATTTCATTTTAAAATTTTCAATTTTTATTTTAGCTCAACACCTTTTTTGTTCTTATAAAGACACATTTCTGTGTTGATTTTACAGCAAAATGTTCATCAAAGGTGCAAAAAATGTAAATTTGCAGTTTTTAAGGACACTCAGCCTTTGGAATTCCCCAAACTTTGGTGGCCGTTTTCTTGCTAATTTTACCTCTGACATAAGGTGACCCCACCTCCTTCAATCTCAAATGTCTTGGCTTCTGTTTAAGAAAGATGAGTATTTTTTTTTTCATCGAAAGCGAAACAATAGTGTGAGACTCCACCGTACGCCATTTTGAAAAGTGATGTAGAGTAGAGTCTAACAGTGTTTACTAAGCTGTCAATATGCCCATAAATTGACGAACGCCTGTCAAAATAATGGGACATTTTGTGTGTACAGGAAGGGGCGTAAAGTCGACAGAGTCTCCAGATCAGATTTACTAGAGGCAGCATTCCCTATGCTGTACAAACGTAGTAATAATAGTAATAAATAGCATTTGAGTAGCGCAGCATACCCTCGCTCGACAGTAAGCTCTATTTGCTTTACACTATATTATTATTATCCCAGCAGACCTTATAATGCTCAGATACATTCTCGGCTTAAGAAATTTAAAAATTAAGAATGATTCTTTCACAATATAAGAACTCCTAGGTCTTCCTTGTATTTCATGTTTTTTTATCTATATCTTTCAGACAGTAAAGCTATCATCTATGACAGTCATGTTGAACTCCAACCAAATGCCTTGCCTCCACTTCGAGACCTTGATATATCAACTGTCAACAGGATTCTCTACAGCACTGATGCCACATGCTCCTGACTAGGATATTATTTTAGAGACATTATTACAAATTAACAAAATCAATTGTGTTTTTCTTCATTGTTTCACCATCCACGGCTCACAGGCTGTTCTTCATTATACTGTCGACTCCACTTGTGTTGAACTCGTTTGAGTTGATCTTCGGTTCAGTTGATCTTTTTCTCAGGGGATCCCAGCATCTCTTCCTTTTTTACATTTTTGTTTAAGTCAAACGGTTCTGTTGAGTTCAATACAAAAGTAAAAATGCTTGAGTTGAAGTGCTTTTTTACCCTTGGCTGCAAGTACACAACGGTTGTATTGATTTTTAAGATTCTTTTTGCATGTGGTTTGTCATCAGATATTTCACAGAGGCTTTGACAAACGTGATACTTAATTTAGAAATACAATTAGGCCAATGTAGAGCCGACCAACGTGCATTGATGATGGAAGTAACTCAATGAAACGATGAGGGGAGCGCGACTGTGGGTGTGTGTCATGAGGCAATAACCACGTTGTTGATGTTGCTTCTCGAGGCCGAAGGGTATGGTGCATCGCAAGACAGTGAGTAGAACAGTACAACCTCTGTTAAACTTATGGCATACTGAGCTGAAAACATACTCACGACGTTACTTAGTGAACTTAGTGTAATGTTCACTTTCTGAAATCTGGAGTCCAAGTTTGAAATCTTAATTTGTAAAACCTTTGTGTCTAAAACGTACCAATGTAAAATGTTCTTTTCGCTATAGATTTCAAATAATTTCAGTGATCTAAAGTTAAGTAACAACGTACTTTGTACAATGTGAGAATAAAAGACATGGCAAAGAGTCAAAGTTTTACCGTACTCGGGAATACAATGTAATCAGCTGCCGTGACGGTAAGTTTTTCGCAGAGATACATTATCATTTATGTTAGTACACGCGTATTGTTAGTTTTACCACCAGTGAATGCTTGCATCATACATACGTGTGAGCACGCAATGATTATTCAAGTGAATAAATATTGCTCTGTAACCTTTTCTTTCACTGCCATTTTTTACCACAATACTAACATTAAAATAAACAGGGTAAAAGATTTTATGTCCCTTGATTTTGTGGTCCTGATGGCTGACTTGAACTTTGGAGCAGTTGATCTTTTTTTCACTCCCCCGACGACATCAACTCATCCATAGGTGACTAAGAAGAAAGCACATTTCACACTGATTCACAGTCAGGCCTTGTTTTAATGCCCACCTGCAGTAAATTTCGCCTCTGCAGCCGATTAGTTGCTAGATTGAGTGTTGGCTAAACTCAAGGAAATCAAACATGACTTGTGTGTTGCCCTATGTCTCTGAAACCTCTGAATTGAATTAGGTAAGTCATTTCAAGACAGTTATGCTAGGAACTTGCACAAGATTGTCTACCAGTGCACACGAAAAGCAGGAAATATGATTTTGAACAAATTATTAACCAAAAGTAATCTAGCAAGACATTGCTTACCATTTTACAAGGTCCTGAAGCAAGCCTGTAAAGAAATGCTACTGGTATTTTACTCTTCTCAAATAAATGTAGATGAAGATGTTCAGTAGATTTTCAACGTATAACTTGGAAAGGGATTTTTTTGATTGGCTTACTTACACTTACACATGCATGCCAAAAATGCCCTCTTCACTCATAATGTTTACCAAATTTGACATTGCAATTTCATTCTCAGTTAAAAACGTGTGCCTGCAAATAACAACCCAAGTCTCTGATGATGAAAAGTGAGATAGCAGTGGCTCCTGATAGATCAAACAATTCTGGTATCTAAACAATTTTTCAATCATCTAGATGAGTTGTTATGGAATGATAGATTTTGTGAGGCCATGTATGAAGATAGACAAAAAAGAAAATATATGTCAAAGCTTGGATTTTATATACAATGTATATTATATATCTCTATATATATGAATGTATAAAGGCCTTTAATATTAATTTTTCAGAAAATATTTAGTTTAATTGGATTCATCCTTCCTACATACAATTTGAAAATATAAGCATTTTCGATTTTTACAAGATTCACATTTGGTACCCAGTAGGCATACTCCTATGGTTCTTCATATGATATATTCAGCTCTAAAATTAAACTTTGTCTTCTGACATTTGGGGGGTTTGACAGGCACGCACACGCTGGATCACTAACATAACAACGACAGGCACACACACAAATTTTGACTTCCTGTATTCAAGTGGATTATTGTCTCATTTCACGAAAATTGACTTCTGTTATCAGTGTCAGGGTGGAAAAAGAGAGCATTAACTTCAAAATCAAAAATGTTCTGAGAAGAGACATAGATCTACTTGCTTTTTTTTTGTTACCTACACTCCTTGTTATGTTATTTTCATTATGAGGATTGTGCTGGTTTATGAAAAGGTTGATTCCTTAGAACATCGGAATTCGTTTATGGGACCAAAAACTGCCTACTCTGATTGCAATTTGTATTAGTTAGTTAGAGGAAATGAAATAAATCCTTTTAATAAATGAGAAAGTTTTGGGAATCTAAAATCCGTCAGCTGGCACTAGTTTCCTTTTTAACCTCTATCATTGCTGTCATGCAAACTAGTTCTCATCACTGATTTTTATCAGAACAAAATGGGACATTGATGCTAAAGAAGAGACTTTGATTTTTAGGGTTTGTCATGCCCTCCTATTCATGCAGGCAAGATTTTTTAGAGCCCAGAAAGTGACTGCATCTAAGAACAATAAGAGAGAGGGAGTCTGTTTGTTTGTGTGTGTGTGTGTGTGAGAGAGAGGGAGAGAGAGGGAGACAGAGAGGGAGAGAGAGAGGGAGAGAGAGAGAGAGAGAGAGAGAGAGAGAGAGAGCGAGAGAGAGAGAGAGAGAGAGAGAGAGAGAGAGTGAGTTGTGGGTTTGATTTTGTATTTGTATAAATGCTGCTTGTTAATTAAAATAAAATCATATTTTGCTTGCATCCTGATGAAAGCTCTCCGACAGTTTCTTCTCTTGGCATGGAGGGTCAATAAAGTTTGTATTACAATATATTCTAATGCAGTGGATTTTTTTATTTGTTTGTTCCTTTTGGTTGAATATGACTCGGAAAAAAATCCCCATGTACCTGTGTGCAGTTGTGTACTTATGATGGAGTACTTCTTGATGTGTGATTTTTGTTTTGTCAAACTGGCAAATTTGACTGGGAACTGTAGGCACTGTAGTTTTGTGAGCATGTATGTCTTCTTAACTTGTATTACAATAATATATATACAGTTCGTGCCGGCTTTAAGCACGTTTTGGACTCAAGCACGCTAAACGGCTCTTACAGAATTTTTGGTATATAAATTACACGCCTTTAAGCACGGTAACTTCGGCTTCAAGCACGCTTCATTTACAAGACAGTCAATATTTTCATGATGACCCATCGAAGTTCGAACAGTCTACACCGCAGCAGCGGAGTGTGTCAAGAGAACACACAAAGAACGCAAGTGATGGACACACACTCACACGCAGGGGAAGAGGAAGGCAGATGCACACAGTCGCGCGCGCGGACATAGGATCTAGCCTAGACCTAGGGCAAAGCTAAACACAACCAAAAAAAATACAAAGAGAGTCGGGGAGACGAAAAAGGGAGGCTGGCTGCGATTTCACCTTTAACCCTCGCTATCCATTAATTAATGATTAATCCTGATTGTGTATCACGCGCGAGGAGGGATGAAGGCGGTGGTACGCACAGGCAGTGTGTAGGCCTAGTGTGCTGTATCGTGACTAGACGTCTAAATTAAGTTTTCATAATTTCCATTTGACCACAAAACAAAAACAAACAAGCGAACAAAAACTACCATGGCGGGTGTCTAAATAACAGTGCACACTTTTGCGGGACCGCCATAGGCCTACTTACAAACAAAGGGAAATAGCACGGGAAATTTTCTACATGAAAATCTCTGCATTATGTCTACTTCGCACTCAAGCACGCTTCGGCTTTGAGCACGCTTTAACTTTCTACCAACGACCGTGCTTAAAGCCGGCATGGACTGTATACATTCGTATGTACTTCTTGTGGCCCAGGCTTTATGCTGTTCCAAGACTTAAATAAATGATATCCGTACAGTGGTGTATTTTCCGGGAGAAAAGAAAACTTGAATTTTGTAAGATGACAAGCTGCTGTGAAATTAGACTCCTTTCTCCTTTCCCAAAACGCTGACCTGTCCAGTTTTGATAAGTAATGACATTGTCACTGTGGCAGGAAGATTTCGGTTCAATGCTGGGAATTCCTAGATCTAGCAGAGTTTGCTTTCTTGTGAGAATGGGAAATGTAATAATGGACATGCATCTTTTAAAAGCATGGTTGAGAGAATTCAACTCAAATAAGTCTGGGTGGGCATTGTTGATTTTGTAAAAGTTGCTTGCACATCCACGTCTCTATGACAAAGTTTTTGAACATTTAGACCGTGAGGTACTTGTGTCAGATATCTTTGAATCTGCTGGTAAATCAATATATAGAAATCTTTGTGAGTCATCGTGGTGAAATCAGGCGCTCGTCAATTCTTGGGCATGTGGAGTTATTGGTATCACTTGAAAGCCGATTTATTTGCCTTGCTTCCAATCAAATAATTATTCATCTATCTTGAATAGAATTCAAAATATTTGTGATTTAAGGTGGTAAGGTCGCCTGGTTTCAGTGGTGAAATAAACAAGAAAATGGCCGTCAAAGTTTGGTAACTCACAATAGCTAAAGAGTCCTTGAAAACGGAAAAGTGACATATTTTGTGTCATTAATCAATGCTTTTCAATATAATTCACTTGGAAATGTGTTTTTATATATGGACATGAAATTAAAAGGGGTTGAGCCATAATATAAAATTTAGATAAAAAAGTCTGAACTTGCGGTAAAAGCGTTTTTTCCGATTTTCTTATTTTGACGAGCATCTGATTTCACCATGATGCCTCACAGTCACATATGGGGTTAAATGTGTAAGGCAGGACTAAGTGTTCTGTGTTTGTAAGAGGTTCAGCGAGCGTTTTGATTTTAGAGACTACTTGTGCATCCTTGTGCTTGGCATTCTCTCAGTTACCCAACACAGATTGAGAAAAAATTGGCGACTCATTCACTTCTTATGACATTATGTAGGCTACATGTTGCCGTTTAAAATTACAACAAAGACCCATATGTCCAACATTTTCATAAGTGGTCATTGTACAGTGGCAAACTGCACTTGAAGGTGAACATAGTGACTTGGCCATTGTCCTAGTGATTGGGTCACTGTGGCTCCATTCCTTCTAAGGCATTTTGACAACAAATGAAAGGGTGGGTTCGAACCCCAATAGAAGTTTGAATTTTTCTTTTTTCCTGAAATATTCTTCCCTTCCTCAACGTAGTGGCCTCATAAAAGACCTTAGGCTCTGTCTTCATATGTCTTGTTGTATTGAGCGTGGTTTGTTTGTTCTTGTACAAGTTAGCAGCCTTGGAAGACAAATATTCAAGGTATTTTGAAGGTGGAGCTCTTGGCCCTGGCATTTATAAGGACTGAATAGGAAAGAAGGCACAGGAGATACAATAAAGCACATAGGTGAGCATAGACGCTCATGTGTGTCACTAGTGTCAGTTTTCTTTTTGAGGGGGTTCCACCTTCTGCTGTAGTTCACTAGGTCGGATTGTAACAAATGTAACCTTGCAGCCCAGTTGGGGGAAGGAGATGAAGAGCATGATGTCCTTTACCGTAACCCCTTTAATGCCCTTCTTATGTACCTGGTACATCATGGAATTTACTGTTTTCCACATCTTGATGTACCAGTGAATACACAATGTGTTGTATTGAAAGGGTTAGGATAAGGCGTGTTGAATTGCAACAAACGACAAGCTAGGCCTAATACAATGTGTAGTGATGCACTGGAATCAGGTGCTCGACAAGTTTTGGAAACAATACAGAGTTATTGGTATCATCTTGAACTTGAAGAAACTTAAAGCCAGTTAATTTTTCTTGCTTTAGATGATAAGAATATCCATCTATCTTGAACAGCAGTCATATTATTTTTATTACAGGAGGTGGGGGTCGCCTACTGTCAGAGGAAGAAAATAGTTTTTAAAAAATGGTCATCAAAGTGGCGACTTTCAAAGCTTGAGAGTCCTTGGAAACTGCAAATTCACATTTTTTTGTGCCGTGGGTCATTCTCCCGTAAAATCCACACAGCATAATTTTAAGACAGAGAAAGGAGCTCAGAAAAAAAATCCATCAAAAATTGGACAGCAGGGGGAAAACGTGGTTTCTTTTTTTCATTATATAAATTTTGATGAGCGCCTCATTTCACTACTATAATGCCACATAAATGTCGGTCACTGTGTACATGCAAATACACGTGTTACCCTGTGCGTTTTACCCCCACATGCTGTACAAATTAGGTACCGGTAGCTAAAATGTGATAGCCATACAGAAATTACATATAACGTACCCGAGTGCAACAAAAGGGTCTTGTGAAATAAATGTGCTATTTTTTTATGCTTTGAAATTGAAGCATTACAAAGATCAATCTACTAAAAATGCTCCAAACTGTAAGTATCTGCCACAGCGCTGTAAATTTGGTCTCTGACAGGACTGAAAGAGCTACAAAGTTCAAATGTGCCCCTGTAGGGGATTTACACCTAGGCCCTCTGCGCAGTGGTCAAGTGTCTTACACCATCTCCAAGGAAAAGTACATACAATGGCAAATGCTAATGTTAATCTGCTAAAGAGAAAATTGATATCTGCTAGATGAAACTATCATTTTAAAACTGTAAAGTTTGAGCAAGAGTGTTAAAAGCAGTCATACTGTTGACGTGGAAGTAAATTTAACCAAGACCAGAAGAATGCAACTACTGCTTGAACATCAAATATATATAAACATGCATTAGTGTCTGAAATATGACAGACCAAAACGCTAGCAAAAACAAAATTGTGGCAAGTTCTCTCTTTAATCGATCTGAAGAAACGTTTACACGAATTATAAAAAAAACACCTTTCAAGTTCAAATAAATGAAATCATCAAATACTCTTTAAAACAGTACTTGGAAGGCGTTTGTACAAAAACTTAATGAATGATTAATGTAAGCAACTTATTTGAAAATAATTTCAAATATTTCCACAAACTATTCCAGATTTCTTGCAAAACCTCTTGAAACTTATGTACAAGTTTTATTGCCAGAAAATTTTATTTTGGAGTGAAATGTGGCGACTAACAAATTTTCAATATAAACAATTTTCCACAACAAAATGAAAGAAAAAAAAAATGCTAGCACAACTTTTTTAAAAGTTACAAGACCGCCATCTGTCCTGGCACTCATTGGAAACATTTTCCAGATTATGGTAGAAAAATCTAAACAGAACGAGACTCCACAAGAAATGAAAATTTGATCCCTGAAAACATAGCAGTAGAAAAAGCATGGTGCCTGTGCTAAACAAATTTGAATGGGTTCTCTTTTTTAAAAAATGAGACACCGGCAATAGTAGAGATACATTTTTTATAAATAGCACCCCCCCCCCCCCATAATCTTGAACAAATGGAACATGTTTACAAAAATTTCCTATCACTACCATGGAAAAAAGTCTGGCAAAAAAGCTATTGTTATCGATCAGGTCACAAAGAAGAAAATGATCTATGACAGTTTTGGCATATTCCAAAACAAGCGGGGAAACTAAATCTAACACAAAATCATAGATGAGAGAGATGAAAAGATGGTAAATATGAACATAATCAATCGATCATAATGACTGTAAGCAAGTGATTTTTGTCTCCTCATTGAGCAGTCAAAAGTCAACCAAAGGAAGAAAGGAAGACAGGCTAAAAAAATAAATACAGAAATCACAGTAGAAAATTATAGTAGTAAACACCAAGTACTAATATAGTGCAATTTGTCAAAACAAGACAAGCTCAAAATTGGAGTAAAAGGGAAACTCATTACCACCTTGAACAATATCTACACATCCAAATTAAAACATTTTGCATTCGTTGGTGTTATTCATGCAGCAAGTCATCTACTTTCAACAAAGTGTTGTGTAGTAAGGAAGTCTTGAGAGAAAAGAGAATGTTTCATTTTATAGTTAGTGTTCACAAATAATTTCCTATCAAATTAAAATTAAAGTTTTGTTTACTTATTGGCAGAAAATTTTTAACCCCAGCAAGTCAGGTCTTATTTTACAAGCCACTTGTTACTTAGAAGAGTAATGGTTGATCTCTCTATATAAAGCATCCTTGACAAGTGTTGGTTTTTTATTCTTTTTTTTATTAACAAAATTGCACATTGCCCTCGGGAACAGGACCAAACTCATAAAACACAGAAATTATCGGCATATTCATTCATCTTGCAATCAACATTTTAAAAAATAATGTTGAAAAATATAGTGTCATGATCCATTATTTGGGGGACTTTGTTGAAACTGTACTGAGTATGAACCAGTGTTGGGATCTTGTTGCATCTGGAAGTTGTTGACGGAAAGACCAAAGGGTCGCAGCACCAAGTTGCCGAGGTCTTTCAATTTACCTACGCATGAGAAGAAAGCAAAATACCGTCTTTAGGAAAACAAAATGAAAGATGACACTTGGTACAGACACAAAAAAACTACCTATCATGGAATTTGGTTACAACAGTGTTCATGTCTTCACAGAATGAGGAGTTCTTCTTTCTCCTGCTAGACTAACAGGAAGTCGAATTCTTTCACCCCCAAAGAGAAAAACTGATTTTTACATCTTGCCATTTTTCCTATCTTTCAGGATGCCCTTTTTGAGAGGTAGGCTACTCTTTTAATCAAGAATTTAGAATAGAGGCATTCTGCCTGGTCTGGCCTGCTTCCCACTCTTTTTACATGGGGCCTCACAATATTTTCACCCTTCTAAGGTAATGTACTAAATCCCATCTACTCTGGAAACAAGGCTGCAACACATTTCAGTTACTCACTAACCACTCTTTCACTAACCCAGGACCCACCAGATACAAAATACTTTTGCAAGAGAGGAGAGACCAGCACGTTACCTTTAGGCTTTCAGCCAACGAGCCCAATGACCAAGGACGACTATGCTGATGAAACCAAGACACTGTTCTAACCAATGTCAAAGGGAATTAAGAAATAAATGCATTTTTTATATGATATATGCATTTTATATATTGTACATTGCCATGCCATCGTCATACACCATCATGAATCCCATTCAAATTGTCACACCAATCAATAGAACAGGAAAGAATCACAGTTGTCCTTATCAACAATAAAATTATGATTGACATTAGACTCTGAAGAATAATCGTTTTTCACTGTCTGTGCAAGAGAAAAACTGCTGAGTGGCTCGTTTTGTACCTATTAGCTTCATCTTACTTGATGAATCAGATGCCATTTAGTTCTGGTAAGAGTGTTACGGCACCTACAACACAATAAGGTCATATAAGTGCCAAAGATTTCAGGAGTTACAAGAGAGTAACAAACACAAAAAAGAAGGAGGAGAGATCAGGACACTAGATGTTTGATAGGAAAGAAGGACTAAACCACACCAAAGCACCCGCCAACCACCCACTCAGATGCCTTGCAGTTGTTTCTTTGCCAAAAAGCACACATAATTCTTCTTTTACTGGCTTCCTATGAAAAGTTAGGACTGGATAATATTAAAACGATTCCTTCCTGTTTATTTCATTACCCTCATCCTTTATTGAGTAGATGAGCAGCTGAAATTGCATGAATGCAATGTCGAGGAAGTAGATGCACACCTACACTTAGTAGAAGTCATACTAAGCATGGTAAAACAGTCTAACACCATCATAAATTGAGGAAAAGAAACCCCTACAACTAGTAAGACTGACAGCTCGTAGTATTACCTCTGCCCCTTACACTTTGCCCACAAAATTGAAATGTAGTCATAAAGAATACTGCATGCTGCATACACAAACTGTACCTGGCCTCCCACCCTTTCCCCTCATTTATGGATCTCTTCAGTTGTGTCCTAGCAGACTTCATCCTTTTGCCACACAAGGCTTCCATTACATTCCACTGTGCTTGTTTATCATGTTTTTTTAGTAAGCATTTTACAGCACTTGTGACACAATTAGGTCATAATCATGCCATAGATTAATGGTTTTAACCTTATCCGTACGTCATATTTTACTATCGTATCCATACCATGAGGGGAACTCTGTGCCACCACTTTCCAAAGAGGAAATTTACTCGTTAATCCGATCCGTACCGTTTGCATTGCAGTCTGTCAAAATGATTTTTGAGAAATACTGAAAATTTCAAAGAGATCTTCGAACTAGAAGTATTCTAAAACGTGGAGAATACAACCTCAGGGGTACAAAATGACCCCAGGGGTTTCGGATAGGGTTAAAAGAGTACCACACACAAAAAGAAGGAGGAGAGGATGATGATAGATGTTTGATAGGAAAGAAAGAGCAAACAACACCACAGCACTGTCCAAACACCCTCTTTCATTGTGCTCTTCTCCAGTAACTAATTACAGTAAAGAACTGTGGTTGTGCACATCTGTTACCCTATCACCATAACGGCCATTAAAAAAAAGTATAAGCAAAAGGGAAATAAAACCAAGAAGAGGAAATAAACCTTATTACGCAAGATTTTGTTGAGTGCCAGCGAAAAGAAGCCCCAAAGCACCAGATTTCAAATATTTAGGGCTATAATCGGAGGGGCTGTAGACAAACCTGTCAATGAACCTCTCAGAAAAATAGAATACCTTCCTGACTGATAGCACGCGGAGTAAAACTTCGGAAAGACACTGAGATGCATGAGTACACTTAAAGACTTAGAGAGTAAAAGACTGGTTCTGCTAATTTATTCCAAAAGTTTGCAGAAAAAAAACTGGATGTAAGTACATTCTTTTAAAAAAAATCTCTCCTGACGACTCAATTGCAAATCTTAAGATTGATACTGTTGTTGTTAATCCAGTAACCTTTGAGCATGTGCCGTTGGGCCCAATGCCTTGATAAAAAAAGGTGAACATCTCCAATATAATTGACCTTGGCTTCAGTTTTTGTTTGTTTTAGTAGAGGTTTTACGGCGCTCGCAACTGCATAAGGTCATATGAGCATCATGGCTTCAGTTTAGAGAATTGTCTATGGTGGGAGGCCAAGTTACAATTTTTTTTTTCTAATTCATTTTAACTCTTTGAAGATGCGTCAGCGCATAATCCGCTGACAGGGGAACCTACCATTGTCGCTGTGTCAGCGGATAATCTGCTGACGATTTTAAATATGTTTATTTGCTTAACTAGTGATCAAAAGTGGACAACCCCTTTATCATTGGAAAGCTCGTCCAAAGCCCTATAATTACTATTTATTAGGCCGATTCCATTTATTTGCTTTGAATTAGGATTGCTTTGCATGGCATTTGTTTTGGGCCCATTGTCGCAGTTTCTACCCAAAATGGCGAGCTTCAGGCGACGTGGTTTGATACTGAAAAAGCTTCGAGTTCTTTATGGATGATGGCAGGGATGAGGAGTTAGATTTCAAGTTAGAAAAAGAAAGTTCAGATGATAGTGATGATGAATCTGTACCACTGGTTGGCAGATCTACCTGACCCCAAAGTCTCATCTTGTCAAAAATTATTTTCTTTTGAGGGCAACTATAGAGTGATCTTACAGCCTTGATCAAGGTAAACGACTGGTATTGTGAATGTATGATTGATTGGTATTAGAGAAAAATAGAGAAATTGTACTTTTTAGTGGTGTAAGTGTGATTTTTGTACTGTTTATTGCAAAAAAAATGGTGACCTAGTAAAAAATGTGTGTCACAGAGTATCGAGAGAGGGAAAGTGGGTGCGTCTTCAAAGAGTTATGCCTATGCTGAATAAGTATTCTTCATGTTGTTGACTTTTTTTGGTTTCACTGCAGGGGAAGTTGTGTTTTGTTTCCTTCATTCAAGCACTACTCAGTGCTCCAACATACCCATGGAAATATCCAATACAAAAATCTAGCTTTCTACAGATCTGAAAAAAAGGATTTTATTCAAAACAAGGTTGTTGGTTCAATATCTGGGTGCTCCTGTCATCCATCTATTTAAGTTGCCTATTAAAGCCTAAGGTTAAAGTCTTAAACTGACTTGAGCCATAGAGTATTAGATAACATGTCCATACTATACATTACCCATCATTTCGTCCTTCATCTTTTCATTTCTGTCCTTGATTTGCTCTGCCAATTTCTATTAGAGAAAGCAAAGAGTAAAGAAATAAGATAACAGCAAAAACATGACTAAAAATGCAACTTTCAACAATATAAAGCACATAAATAGGCCTACTTATTACTCTTGACGCTTGCAACAAATGTCACAGACACCATAGAAAAGAAATTCAACACAGTAACTCTTAAGATTTTTGTAAGGTAAACACTGAAAAAGCAATTTAAAAAATGAAACAAGTATGACACATTAATTGGAAGGTATGGTTTTTAATAAAGTCCTTTCCAGAATAATAATTAATGTGTCAGGACGTGGTGGAATCAGGCGCTCGTCAATATTTGGGCATATTGTGTTATTGGTATTATCTTAAAGCTTGGTCATTTGTCATGCTTTCAGTGTAAAAAATTAACCATCTATCTTAAATAGAAGTCGAGACATTTGCGATTGAAGGAGGTGGGGGTTGCCTGGTTTCAGAGTTAAAAATAGAGAGAAATAGCTGCCAGAGTTTGATGAATTCCATAGCTGGAGAGTCCTGGAAAACTGAAAACTTACATTTTTTTGCACCTCTAATCAACGTTTTTCAGTAAATTCCACACAGAAATGTGTTTTTTAATGGACGTAAAAAAGGCGTTGAGCAACCAAAAAAAAAAAAAAAAAATTTTTTAAAATAAAAACAACAACAAAATAACTGGCCATTAGCCAAAGAAATGCCGATTTCTTTGATTTTATTATTTTGACAAGCACCTGATTTCACCACGATGCCTCACAAATAGTATTCATATAGCGCAAATTCATGCTCAACAGCAAGCTCTAGGAGCTTTACAATACATATTTAAAAATCTCAACTTCCTGAGAAGCATGCACTGTGAGCAGCCATTTTACAGGCGCTAAAACATTAACAAACTAACAAAATCTTTCCCTGATTAAGGCCAGGTCCCCATTCCCACCCAGGTGAAGTAAGGAAAATTCAGGTAAAGTGCCTTTCCCCAAGAATACAATGTCGGGTCTGAAGCTCAAACCCTTGAACCCACAACCTCACGATTTCAAGTCCAGTAGCCTAACAGCTACACAACTAACGCTAAGTAATCATACAAGTCCCACTGGCCTCTCGAATATAGATTCTATAAGAATTTGAACCAAACTGTTAGAAAAAAACTGACGACATGAGAGTAAAACCCCTAATAAGCTGTAAAACAAAAGCTGTAATTTGATACTAACCACACAGGAAGCCCTCGCCGCATGTTGAGAAGGATCAAGTTCCAAAACTTGCTGGTAGTCTTTCAAAGCCTCGTCAAGTTTTTCTGTTTTTTCATACAGCTCAGCTCTGCGCAACAAAGCTTTCAGATAGTGTGGATGCAGTTCCAGAGCAGAGCTACTATCAGCAATAGCCGAATCATACAATTCCTTGGACACACAAACGAAAACAAAAATGTACAACGAGGAAATTCAGAGCTTGTACAATGGTGATTTTTAAAACCGTGTGGTACGGACTGTTAACTCATTAAGGAACCACATTTATATAAAAGTAAAAGATGACAGACTCTATAGCTGTACTAAAATCTATAAACACCATTTAACCATCAGAGTCTTAATACCTTTCTGAACTTCATCAAAAGGCTTAAACCAGTACCTTTGCTTTGGTATGAAAGGGAAAAACAGATCTCTAACAGAGAAAGCAACATCACAGTGGATCAACAGACCAATATTAATATTACTATTATTGAAATTCTTAGTTCAAAGTGGAAACTATGGTGCCTTCAAAGCAAAAATTCAAGAACAAACAAGAGACAAAATTCAGTTTACGTAGCTGATGTGTAAGATGGCTTATTCTAAATGAAAAGAAGGTACATAATTATGCTGTGTAAGTCTTTCAAGTATTTGTCCAGCAGTCACCAGTTCGTTTACTAAGGCGACAGACTAGAATTTCCCACAACACAAACTTTTTGTTTAGTTTTTATATGAAAGACCTGAGGGAGACCTGTGATTGTGATACAGTGGAATCCTGTTATAACGAGAGGGAGGGGACTGGTGCCAAATGTCCTTTATAGCAGGATTCTCGTTATAAGGGATCCAGTAATAAATTCAAGGGAAATAGTAAAGTTGGCCTTATCTATGAGTCTGGTTTTCGGTTTATTTCTTTTTGTAATCTCCCCTGATGATGATTTGGTTCAACATGACTTTAAGTCTTACTTGATCAAAAGTCGAATCAGGTTTCTTTCTCTAGCGCTAGCGATGTTGACAGCTCAGCGTTGGCAATCAGAAAGAAAGTTCACTAGGCTAACTCGTCCGCTGTGTTGTCCCCCACCCCACCCAGCCCTGTGGTGCATTCCGTCTGCTAGCGCACACTGAGAACATAGATCTAAAACACCCCGTCCACTAGAGCTGGGCGAAGAATCCAAACCGGAACCGGTTCCCACGATTAATTCTACGGAAGAAAAGTGTCGACTCCTTTTTACGTAAACCAACGGTCACCAGTTACCTTAATTATTAAAAATCTTCTCTTTTTTTTTTTTTAAGAATTTATTTTTGAAAAATAAAAGTAGATGCTTTGAAGTGTTCCAAAATCAAGGCCATCCTAAATCCCGAAAATGTCCGGAGCCAACCGGGTAACCATCGAAAAAAAAAATCACATCATTAGAAAGTTAGTAATTGGGTTCGGAGTCGATTCCTACGATTCCTAACTTGCAAGAATAGGGAACCTCGCCGCCCAGCACTACCGTCCACGTCAAACATTCGCTCCCTTCATCACAGTACAGCACTATGACTTCTCCATCCCCGAATCGAAGAACAGAGAGGCATGGTAGGCCTAGATAATCTAGACTAGGCAGGACTATCACACGATGCGTTCTGCTTGTCTGTGCATGCCACACTCTCCCCACTCATTCGCACCGGCCTTTATTGTTGGCACACGTGGGCTCTCCCATTTTTTGTTTCGCTTGATCACCAAGTTTCTCAACTGACGAGGTTTTCATGCATAAATGGCCTATGCGCTCTCCACAGCAGTAGCAATATTCTGCTATAACCGACTCACATGTTTGTCTGATTGCGTTATACCAGTATTTTCTTTACAAAGATAAAGAAGGGAAAAAACAGGGTTTTAGAATAGTGTCTTTATAACAGACTTCTTGTTCTTTCAGGACTCATTATAAGTGGATTCCACTGTACAAATGTTTATCCAATCAGGATCTAGCAAAAACACAATACACGCACTTCAAAACAGTTCTAATGTCAGAAACTGTTCACAATATTTTTTAAGAGCCCATTGCTTCTATATTATAGACTCACCTTTTTCATTTTACAGGCTGCCCTATTTGAGAACATTATGGACCTCTCCTTAAGAAATGACAACGGACATATACTCAAAGCCTCTGTGTAGGACTCGATTGCTTCATCGTACTCCCCATTGCGGAACTTGTTGTTGCCCTCCTCTTTGAGATGCTGGCCGTTACATTTTCTCTCCTGTAGACAGAACAATAAAAGAATAAAATTGAAAATCTTCGTCACGAACTTATTTGAATGCTTCGACGTAGTTGCTAATAATGAGCAAAAGCATGGCATGGTTATCAGTAGTGGGCTCTCTCTCAAAGCAATTAAAATTCAAAACCAAACTTTACCCATGGCATTCTAACACCCCCCCCCCCCACCTCTTCCCCAACAACTCAGTCTGAGGTCTCTCTTTTTTAAAGGCCAACGAAGATCCAAGCTTTAAATGAACTTTTAAATCCAACAATCTTTATTATTTTTTAAAAATAACTTAGTTTAGTTTTAGTAAGAGTATTATATGACACTTGCAACATGATAAGACTATATAAGTGGAGAAGATTATAGGTGTTACTTGAGAATAACGAACATAAAAAAGGAGGAGAGATAAGGTAGGACCATAAATGTTAGATAAAAAAGAAGGAGCAAACCACACCAGAGCACCCGCCAACCATCCGCCTCTAATAATTACTTTGTCATAACCAGTTTTTCAAGTGAATATGTAAACGTCTCATTCAGCATTGGCTGATACCAATTTACCTCCACTTCTTCTGCAGTAAGAGCCTCTTCTAGTCTTTTTCTTGCTTCTAATTCTTCTGTGACTTCTGTTTCGCTTTGTTCTTTCTTCTCTTCATCTCCATCTTCAGACTCGTCATCATCATCATCCATGTTGGGAGGAATAAAGTCTCCAGCATTATTTTCATGGGCATCATCGCAAACTGGCACTGGTTGGGAGTCTTCTTCACTATCACTGCCTTCATCGGCGGAATGAAACTCCTCATCACTGTTAGTGCTAACACCACTTTCATTTGTGCACTTACTATCCGATTTCGCGGGGGAAGTTTCCAAATCGCTTTTCTTAGGGGAAACAGTTTTTTGACCAAGAAGTGAATCTTGTGGTTTCGTCTCAGAAAGACCAGTCGGGTCAGCATCACAATCTTCTTTTGTTGTTGCACCGTTGACAGCGGAATTATTTTCACTTATGTCAGCTTCTTTCAAACTGCATAATCTATCCAGCTGATCTGGCACTTCATTCAGTGTGGTTTCTTGCCCATGTCCAACATTTTGCTCAGAATTGTCAGCCATGGCGCAAAAGGCATTAATCTGGAAAAAAAAAAAAAGCATAAAAACAAAAACAAGGCAAGACAAGTAAGTACAAAATAGGCTGAATTCCATAGGACCCACCTTATTAAGTACAATATCAAAGCTATTTTAGACCAGTTGTCGTATGTTTTACCTAAGGAAACATAAAATCAGTATACATCCTCCTTATCATAATTTTCCGATTAATGTTGTAGACGAATGGAAAGAAAATATTGGCTTCTAATCATCATTTAAACAGTGCCTTTTTGAAGGTGTATTCAAGTGAATTTCTGGCCATAACTCCAAATAAGGGTTTTGACACACGTGTTTCACGTTTTCCGACAGAAAAGGAAGTAAAAGGTTGGTTTTAGGGTGGGTGGCTTAGTGAGTCGGTGGCTTAGTGAGTGAGTGAGTGAGTGAGTGAGTGAGTGAGTGAGTGAGTGAGTGAGTGAGTGAGTGAGTGAGTGAGTGAGTGAGTGAGTGAGTGC